TTATAACCCTCGCGTGTGAAGACCACGACATCTGACTGTTGTAAAACAAAATAGGCTTTCTTAATATTATAACTTTTTTATTTTCATTATTTTTGGTTCCATGCCTATAAACATTACCTTTATCAGACCTGAACTGACTTTTAGGGCCGCAGTCTTCACATCGGAAAAAACGACCCTTTGTCCCCTGGTAAACGCGCCCCTTAAATTTTCTGTTCTACACAACCAATTAAAGACAGAGTTGTCTAATTTCATATACATATATGTATGTATCCAGGGTGTTTTCAAAACAAGTAGCAAAATAATGGTACCGGTGAGTCTACAGCTAAAAAGAACATGTTTTATATAAAAATTATCTTAGTAAAATGTTCACCCCTTAGAAGATACAGCCTCTCAAAGTTTTCAAAAAAATATGGAATAGCGGCTATAATTTGAAAACCAAAAAAGGTATACCTAATTGTCAAATTTTATACAAATTTTCTACTAATGCATGTGCAACTTCTCGACACTTTCGAAAATTTCTGCCCCTTGGAGGCGATTGAAATAATAATAATCCTCTTAAGTTATTTCTTGCAGATAACCTGATTTATTTTAAAATTTTTACCTCTCACTTATCTGCTTCAAAACTTTATTAACAAAAAAATTAGATTCATTATCATTCGCATTACAACTGGCAGGATTGCAGCTTGCACCTAATTGTAAGGAATATTTGTGTAGGCGGCTGTCGTGATAATTTCTTATATGACATACGTATTTTGTAGCTCTATATCATACCCACATCAATATACTTTTTAACAAATACAATTTTCTATTAGCATTATTATTAATGATAGATGTATTACATACAATAATATTATTCCAGTTTACTTACTAAAAATTCAGTGAAGTTAAATAGGTATAAAAATATAAAAATCTGCCTATCTATTTTTTACCCTATTTTATTAACTTATTTGTCGAGGGCCCTCTACACGCTCAAAAAATTGGAGTTTGGTGTGCTCTCAATCGAAGGAGGATTTATGGACCTATTTTTTTTAATGGTACTCTTACTGCGCAAAGGTATAGAGAAGAAATTATCGCTCCTTTTGTTAACCAGCTGGAAGAAAACGAAATTACAAACTTTTACTTTCAACAAGATGGCGCAAGGGCACATACGGCAGGCGAGACGATGAATATGTTGAGGGAAGTTTTCCAAAATCGACTAATAAGTCTCAATGCTGAACATGAATTTCCACCGAGGTCATGTGATATTACGCCGTGTGATTTCTTTTTGTGGCCTTACCTTAAAAACACTATTTTTGAACTGCCTATTCCTGATTTAAACCATCTGCAGGCTCGACTTATAGACAAGATTCGTGAAATTAACAATACCCCGAGCATCTTAGAAAATGTCTTTAATTCTTTGAGGAACAGGTGTGAAAAGTGCTTGGAACAAGGAGGGGGACACTTTCAGCAGCTGCTTTAATTTATTGTTATAACAAGGAGGGGGACACTTTCCGCAGCTCCTTTAATTGTTTGTTATTGTTATCACGATTATTCTTTAAAATAAAGTTATATAGTCATTAACGTTATTGAAACTGACAGCTGCTATACAGCTCGTTGAGAAATGAGGTTAAGTTGGTCGCTATAAGCTACTCCCTACGTACAATGTGTCAGAGCCAACTTCGACCACGTTTTTATTTGAACGCTCGTTATATACTTTATTAGATCTATGATATTTTCACACAACCTAACCTAACGACTAGATGTCAGACAAAAATGGGGTTAACTTATTATCTCACAGAAATATCTTGATATAATAATCCCTTTCAATATTTTATGAAACATCACTTAAATATAGTAAATCTTCATACAAATAGTCAGAAATAGCATTCTATCGGCCGGTCTTCTTTTAAAAATGGGACATAAGTACTTCAGATATGTATATCATACATATATCTTGACAATAATAGGCTATTGACTTTGTCAAAAAAAAGAGGGTACAAAGGAACTACAACGTAACAGAAATTTTATTGTTTGATATGTTCAATTGACCCTAAAAAATGATAAAACCGCGGAGTGCTACCTTTGAAAGGGGTGCGTTTTTTGAAAACGAAGTAAAAAGGTGGTATTTTCAGTTTTTTGAGTTTTACTCGAAAACGACTTTTTTTTAAATAGTTGTCAACAGAAAAGTTGTAGCAAATTGAACTTCCAATCGAAATGAGACCTTTTAAAGTAAAAAAAAAATATGTTTAACAAAAATATGCCCAAAAAACGAGTAAAAAAAAACCGAAAAAATGCGTTTTTTTTTCTTTTTGGTTTTTGGCCCACAACTTTCTTCTGAGAGGAGTTAGGTATAGGCATTGCTTCACAGATAAAAAAGTTAATGTGTTTTTCTTTAAAATAAGCCTTTATAGAAGTACATACCTACGACTAATAAAAACCGAGATACATTGGATCAAAGTTGGCTACTTTTTGGCCAATTTTTGCCCTTTTTGACGATTTTCGTCTTATAACTTTTTTCTGAGTTAATTTAGGTATATGTAATGCCATATTCAAATGAAAGCTGGTTTGAAGGCCTTTAAAATGGTGTCTGGTAGAAGTTTGTACAATTAATATCAACTGAGATATGTCAATTTAACCAACGATACTTTTTTCTTTTTATAAAATTTATATTACTTTTGCTTTATCTTTCTTACTATAAAATACACATGGTTTGAAGCTAGTCACTGTTTCTCTCCATTTTTTTGAAAAAATTAAGATCTAGAAAACGGTTAATTTTAGGAATAGGGAAACTTCATAAAAGTCCACCTAAAATGACACGTAGAATCCAAAATAGCGATAATATATAGGGTGTTCCATTTTAAATAAGCAAGTTGATGTCGACTTCCGGTATAACCGGAAGTGGTACGTGAATGCCATTATTTTAGTTGAGAAAGGCATGCCCGAAAACTCGGTATCCCAAATTTTCAAAATTCAAATTGAAGTAGGCTTTGAAATAATTCTAATGAGCCGTCACCGTCAGACACCCTGTATAAACGTAATAAATTTATCCAAAAAGGCCCATTTCGTAGTGACAGAATTTTTTTTGTTAATTGTATTTTTCTGGATTTTGGGAATTTTTTATAACTATTCGTAATTTTCCAATTCCTTTAAAAGTTTTGTCTTCGAAGTCTTCGCTTTGAAGATACAAGGTGTTGAAGTTTAAATACATATGTTTTGAATAAACAAATAATATGTACATTCAAACAGGTAGATTACAAAAATTGTCTTGTTACAGATTTTGGCAAAACACAAACTTTACTTTTTTTTTGCTAAATGTGTTACAGAATTATATGTTTTTTATGTTTCATGATCGAAAAAGTTGGCGGGTATCTAAAAATAGTTATTTGAATGGTGGTAAATTGATCTAAATCATAAAAAAGATTTATTTGCAATTTTAGCAAAAAAGTAAATGACAATTATTTATAGTTTAGCATACCTCTAAATTGTGAACTGTCGTCAGTGACGATTTAGACACGATTGTTTATTTGTAAAAATAAAATTGACATCTCAAATATTTGTGTTTGTGTTTTCTCAAAATCTGTAGCGCCAAAAAAACTTGGAATTGTCCTTTGGGACTACTAGTTTTTAAGTAAAAATATAAATTCAAATTCATAGTGGCTTATCTCAAAAAAAAGAAAAAAATTATTGAAATATCTAGCAACGACACAGTTATCTAAAGAATCTGTTTTAAAACACGTTTATTTTTTGTCTTAACAATATGTTATTGATCTAAATGGTTATATTTTCATCCAAGGAAGCTATCCTAGAAGAAGGTACCTACATCAGTCTTTGTTTCAGGATGCAATTATTAAAAAACAATAAAAACAAATATTATTTTTTATGTTTTGTGGAATTTAATTTAAAAAGGCCCATTTTGTAGTGACATAATTTTTTAAGTTAATTGTATTTTGGGAATTTTTTATAACTACTCGTAATTTTCCAATTCCTTTAAATTTTTTGTCTTCGAAGTCTTCGCTTTGAAGATACAGGGTCTCTAAGTTTAAATAGTCTAAATATGTTTTGAATAAACAAATATGTACGTATATTCAAAGGAGTAGATTACAAAATTCGTCTTGTTACAGATATTGTCAAAACACAAACTTTACTTTTTTTTGCCAGTCACAAAATTGAATGTTCAGAAGAATAAAAGAAAAATGTGTATACATATTACATATACGAAAGTGATCTAACCTAATTCTTGTAAAATTAAATCTAAACTGCATTACCTCCTTCGAAACACCTGCTACCAAATTTTAAAATTATAATTTAATCATGATCTCGGCAGCAACCAACATAATATTCCCATCGATGCTGTATCGACTAAGGCCAGCTAAAGTTTTTTCCCAGCAGTTAGAAATATGTATACGTATGTGTATGTATTTGCTGTAATTTTATTCTTTGAATGACTTTTTAAACATTAGAATAAAATTTCCCTGCAAAGGTATTCCAGAAAACAAATTTTAATAAATGAAAAAAATAAACCGTTTTATCATAATGTGTAAATCGAGTTAAAAAATAAATATCTACGGAGCTATGTTGAATGCTATATAATAATGTAATGATAATTATAATAATTATTAAGGATTTTTTAACTCGTTACTGTTAAACTGAATTAAGAGTGATTGCGGAGTAATTCTAAATGTTTTAATAGGTTTGAGTTTGTAAATATTCGCGAAATTCGCGTANGGGCCCACCTACGAAGGCTGTCCAGGCCTACACGAGATGAGGCAGGATAAAGAGGGATAATCCCCCTCGATCCCAAATCATTGAGTCCAATTTCTAGCCATGGAATAATGGCGCGCTTCATGTAGTATATGTTGTAAGGTTTTAATTAATCCAATAAATTAGGAATGTAGCATAAAGCGTAATGAGTACTATAAGACAGATTATGTCGTTGTTGGTGGTACGATTTAGCAAACCATCCAAACGACTATTTTTGACATTGCAAAATTCAAGGTCACAGTTGGGTTGGATTATTCATTTTCAAGGCCGTTGTATGAACGATAAAAGTAGAAATTAGGTTATGCTCGACTGTGTTTGTCAAATCATTATCCTATTGTTGTGTTACATAACAGTAATTATATCCCGATTTGTTTACCATTTTATCAAAATAATAGATATTGTAACATAAGTTTATTGAAAATGTGATGTATGCGAATATATTACGAAGCGTTTTTACAACGTCACGGTATTTTATAACGGATATAAAACCGGTGGGGATATTTCATTTACACATATCAGGTAACTTTCATTCCTAATATGGATTCATTATTTGTTCATTAACGGGGTTATAACTGATCTTTGAAGCAGTAACAAATATGGCCAAACAGATTGATAAGGCTGAACTAAAAAATCGTTTAACCCCCATTCAATATCATGTTACACAAGAAAAAGGAACAGAGAGACCATTTTCAGGTAAATGATTTTACATCATACTTTTCATATACAATATATACGTTTTCAATTTTGTTTTAGGTTGTTATAATAAAACATATGATGAAGGAACTTATGTTTGTATCGTTTGCGAACAATCTTTATTTAGTTCAGAAACTAAGTATGATAGTGGATGCGGATGGCCTGCTTTTAATGATGTCTTAGATAAGGGAAAAGTTAAACTATCACCAGACACTAGTGGAGGTATTTATTTTTCATTGGCTTTAATTTCTGCATTTATAAATAATATTTAAATTTCATTTGTCACCTTAAAATCTATTCAAGACTTTAATATAAAATTAAATTCTTTATCATTTGTGTGAATGTCCATTATATTTGTATTTTTACAATTTAATTTGGATTTAAATATAAATGCAGATTTTTTTTTGTGTGGTTTTGAATATTATAAATATAATAAAAAGTAGGTTTCTTTAAAAATATATAAGTAATAAGGATTGTTCGACTCTTTAATGTATCCAGATAAGTCTCATCACATTAATTATATTCTTAATTATTTTAATCTACTAACAGAATTAAAAGATTATAATTTTTGTGCTCATCTGTCACAAAGAATATAGTTTAAGCTTTTTATTTATTCAACTATTAAAAAATTGAGACATCTTTTAATAAGAAATTAAATTGAATTAGATAAGTAAATCTGTCTAAACCATAAATATAAAACACCATATTCATCAACAATCTAGATACAATATTCGTATTTATCACTAATGAGCATTTCTGTAGTTAAACTACTAAAGAAGTGACTAATTTATAATAGTTGAGTAATACCACATATCTAACCCATATGCGACACTTAGAGAGATAGAGCTACTTTGTGCAACACGAATGGAGATACATCCAAGTTAAAGGGACTGAACGCCTGCGTATTTCCCAACAGAACAGCTGTGTGACAACGTAAGATGATATTTTCAGATTTACTATTATTTCGGCGTTAAACAGAATAAATATGAAATACAAAACTTTAAGGATATATAAATTTTGTATAGTAAAATAGTGTTTGATTATTTTGCCCATAAATGATGCTACGTATGAACGGTTTTTATCTGCGAATTAAATACATTACCGATGAAGCTCGAATACTTCCGTACATGTTTTATCTCCGTGTGGTTTATGTTAGTGACGTTACGTATAAATCATATAATAGCCATTTTGGGCATTTTGTAAACATTGTTGCCGTTAGCTGTATTGAAGTGTTTTAAAAAGTGGTTTACAGTGGATTTATAGTTATTTATTTTTAAAACTTTGGCGTTTTTATTAACAATTATTTGCAGTTACAAAGAATGTCTAAATCAGTATCGGAAATGCAAGAAAGAAAATAAAAA